GCGCGGACGCAGCTGCCCGTTGCGGACCTTGGCCATGATCGTGTCGCGGTCGGCCACGTCTGCGTACGGCACGTCGAGCGTGTCGAGCTCCGTCAGGACGACGCCGAACGAGTAAATGTCGGCGGCGATGGTGTACGACTGGTCCTTGTCTTCAAAGTCCACGCGAAGCACTTCGGGGGCCATCCAAAGCGTAGTGCCGACGCCGGCCGTCATGGATTCGTCAACCGTGCGCGCCGACCCGACGTCACCGAGCCGAATGTAGTGCGTCGTCGAGAGGAAGATGTTTTGGCTCTTGACGTCGCGGTGGATGATCTCGTGCTTGTGAAGATCGGCAAGTGCATGCGCCAGCACCAAGGCGACGTCGACCGTCGAGACGTCCATGGCCAAACGCTTTTCGTTTCGCTTGTTCTCGAGGAAATTTTGCAGATCGCCCAAGTCCATGTCCTCCATGATCATGGTCGGGTTGCACAATCGGCGTTCTTGGTCGACGACAATTTGCGACTTGACAACGTGAGGCTCGCGCGAGCCATCGTCGAGGACAGCGATCAGCGGCTGGAGATACGGCGATGAGAGTCTATTGCCGATGCAACCCGTGAGAAGTTGTCGGACAAGATCAAGACAATATAGTACGAACGTTTGCATGACCGCCACCTCCTGGCGCATGGCATTCTGCAACCAAGGTAGATATCGCGTGGGCCCTTTGATGACGACGGGCTTGTCGTGGAGCGTGCCTTTAGCGACGAGGGTGGTAGTCGTTCTCCGAAGCTCGGTCCCGACCCGGAGACGGGCCGAAGTGACCAGCTAGCGACGTCACATGAAGAGTCTAGTCAACGCCCTAACTCGTACCACAGTGCAGCCAGCGTACATCCGAGGACAGACGATTTCTGCCACTTTGTAGTAGCCCCGCTGGACGGCGGCGGCCAACAGCGTTTGTCCGTTCTATAGCCAAGTGTTTTGTTGTGAGGACTAGGGTTGATAAATTGATCACTAATCATTGGACTGACGGGCAAGATGGTCGACACGTCAGCGCCAAGATCCAAAAGACATTGCGCGGCAGCGGCGTGGCCTCGGAGCACGGCCGACACGAGCGCCTTCGTGACAACCTACAGTTAAACATTTGTTTCAACACAACGACAACACGTGGCTGGCTCGTACCGGATCAGTGTTGGGCAGTGACGCTCCCGCCATCTCGCCAGTCTAAAGGCACGATACAATCAAGACTGATCCAGAGAAAGTCGTGTACGCTGGTGAGTGCTGGACGTTGCGCACCAGCACGCAGGAGCCGGTCGACGCTGCTCGCATCACCATCGGACGCAGCGCGGAGCAACGACATACCGAACGCACGGGCGCCGATCGTCTGAACAAACATGCAGAGCGCATCCTAACACAACATTTTGTAGCTTGCAACCATGAGTACGTACCTGGGGTAGACTCTGGACTTGAGCGTTGGCCTGCACAAGCGCGAGAGCGGCGTCGACGTTCTGGTTGCGGACAGCGTGGTCCAGCGGCGTGCTGTGACTCTATTTAGCTGTTGTGAGGCGTATTTTCGTCAAGGAAGCGACGTACGAGGTCGGTGCCATTGATGGAAAACTTGTCCGATGTCAGCATGGCGGCAAGTAGCTCTGGAGTGTTGGCGTCGACAGCAAGGTGCAGTAGCGGTAGGCCAGCCTACGGTCGAGTTGTTAGTGCGAAATTTGGGCTGTCCAAGCATACATCGTCTTGCACGTCAGGATCAAAGTCGCTTGCGAGAAGCTGCCGCATCTGGATCACGTTCTTGTGGCGCACGGCGGCGAGCAGCTAGTTGATATACGTCATCGTTCCATTGCTACCGGGATTAGACCTCGTCGATGACGTTCCCTTGGTCGATTGGCAAGCGATTGTCGTCGTTGCGGTGCGCCAAAAGGACGTTGATGATGTCCTCGGCCGTCGGGCGCTCCTTCGGGTCGAATGCAAGACACTGGTCGGCGAGGTCCGCAAGCCATTTCGGGCACGAGTTGCTCATGTGCGGGCGCAGCTGCCCGGTGCGGACCTTTTCCATAATCGACCAGCGGTCGGCCACGTCTGCGTACGGCACGTCGAGCGTGTCGAGCTCCGTCAAGACGACGCCAAGCGAGTAAATGTCGGCGGCAGTGGTGTACGCTCGGCCTTGTCCACCATGGCCAACTCGGATCACTTCGGGGGCCATCCGGAACAAAGTGCCGGCGTTGGACGTCATGAGGTCATCGTCCATGAGGCGCGCCGATCCGAAGCCACCGAGCCGAATGTAGTGAGTTGTCGAGAGCAAGATGTTGAGGCTGTTGACGTCGCGGTGGACGATGTTTTGCCGATGGAGGTCGGCAAGCGCATGTGCGACCACAAGTGCGACATCAAGCGTCGACACGTCCAGCGCGACGGGCTGTCCATGTCGCTTTGCCTCGAGGTAGGCGTGCAAGTCACCTTGGTCCATGTACTCCATGATCATCGCGGGGCTGTACAATTCGAGTCTAAGGTCACGGACGACAGGCTCGCGCGAGCGATTGTCGAGGACGGCGAGCAGTGGCACGACGTACGGCGACGAGACCCTGTAAGTTAGTCAGTACATTACGAAATTGGAATACGTACATTTGCATCATGTGCACTTCTTCGCGAAGCATACAGGCGACGCGCTGGTTGGGAATTCGGGGGCCTTTAACAGCCACTGATTGCCCTTGGTACGTGGCCCTGAGAACAGAGGTCATCGAACCCCGCGAGAGTTCGGCCTCGACGACAATGCCATCCACCGTAGCCTACTCAAAACAAGTAACGACAACCTGTCCCCACCGTCCACGGCCTTACCGTGTGTGGTTCGGGGTACGAGATCGGGTGCAGGATGTCTGCGATAGCAAACTGATGGTGCTGAATGACTGACGCCAGCAGCGTTTGTCCGTTCTGTTGTCGATTATTCCCATGAGCACGCGAGAGCAACCACTGGAATTGTACCGGCATCGAAGTCGATGCATCTGCCATCTTCTCGAGCAAGAGACGGACGGCGTCTGCGTGGCCGCCGTGCGCCGCCTTGTGCAACGGCGTCCATTGCTCCTAATAGATGCATGCGCCATCTCTCCAAGATCCTAGGACATACCTTGTCGGTGCACTCGATATCGACGCCCTCGTTTAAGAGTCGCCGGATCTCGGCCACGTCGCCCGTCGACGCGGCCGTCAAGAGCGCTTGCTACACCATAGAGAGAATAGGATGAAGATGCTGCAGAGTGATCAAGGGCGGTCGTACCTCGTTTGCCGTTGAGCTCATTCGTCGCCAATTCAAAAATGAGGTCAGTCAAATCAAAAGGAGCCGCTATCGGCCTTCTAACGTTTTGAGAAAACAGGGCCCAAAGGTTTCAGCGCTTTTGATTGGTCGCTTTCTAGCGATCTCATTGGTCAAACGGTGAAGGTGATAGACGGCAGGAGCCAATGGCAGAGCTTAGGAGCGCCGGAGGCGGACAACAGGTCACTGATTGGTCAGCTGTCGGCGAATAGCCCTATCCTGACGACCTTTTGACACGTAATTTGCACTAGAATTACGACGTTTCTGTCCATAAGAACTACACCATTCGATTCCCCTTTAAATTGTGTTGTATATGCTTCCCGTACTCCAAAACTGTCTCAAAAGGCGATCCGCTTCCTTTTGATTTGACTGACCTCAAATGAGGCAAACGAAGAGAAAGGATGTGATATCAGTTTACTCTTGACTGCACGCAGTAGTACAGCATTGCACGGGATTGCTGCGTCGGCGAATGTATTACCATAAATGTTGCAATCTACAATTTTAGGGACACGGCGTGAGAGAAAAGAGAAGGAAGGAAACAGGTGCAGCCACTGGGAAACCGGGCACTCGTTGTATGTGGAAGCTGCTACACACCAGCACTGCGCCCTCGTGGCTGGTAGCACGACAAGGGTCATGTCCATAAACTAGACTTGCAATTTGTATAAACCAAGTAAGTGCAACCCGACCAACTCTAGACCTACCCCTCCAAGCCTTTTTTCTCAATCAAATAGCTAAACAATGATATATTCGATATGACTGGCGGAGACTTCGGATTGCTGCACATTAGCTACGAAAGTTCTCTAATATTCATTGGACGCGACTTGTAACTTCGTGGCGAGAGTCTATTGCCTCAGAGCCACACAGAGATGGAAGAGCGCACGCGCAACGTCCGAGCGCGAGTCCGAGCAGATCGACCGGGCCCGAAGACTCGGGTCGTAGCACCGAATGGAGTTCCGGTCTGCAACCTCTGCGGCATCCGCCGGCAGCACACGGTGCACTGCCCGTACGCCCCATGCGATCGCCGTTGTCTCGCATCCAAGCGCAGCTCTTTCGGCGGCATCCTCGACGCCTTGACGACGAGCCGAACGGCACGCAAGGGCTTTTCATCCACTGTCAGCTTCCAACCGGCTGCGCTTGATACTGCTGCTGTACAGCGCGCCCACCAGACCAAGGCTCTGTGGACATGGGTCTCTACGATGTGGCTCCCATGCAGTCAAGTCAACTCATCGACGTTGAAGTAAACCGCGCGACTACTTGCAACACATAAGTACCTCCCCGACGACTCGGTGCAAGAAGCGCAAGCGCGATGACAAGAATACGCCCCAGCGTCAAGTCATCCTCAACAACTCGGCAAGTTGGCCGCCACGTGCGAAGTCGGCCTCTACACGCGGTACCGAATGGACCGAGCATGCAAGAAGGCATGCGATGGAACGTGTCCTCTTCTTGTCGTCGCGAAAGTAGGCAAGCAATCATACGCCGCCGTGTGCTAGAATATGCGGTTGGATCCAGTTTTGGTTGTGGGTTGGATCTATCCCGGGAAGCGCAGATGGAGATGCACAACGCCTGCAAAGCACATTATAAGCTACCATAATAGCCTTATATCGTATACATCAGTCAATATATAAAGCTTTGCACCGTTATCTTGCACGCTTCGTCGACGAGATCAAACTCTCGTCTCGGTAACAACTTCAAGTTGCGTGGATATAGACGAAGTATCTGGATTATGATGGAGAGCGCCTACATTGTGCAAACGCTCGGTGCAAGCTGGCGCGTCCCTTCCAAGCTCCAGATGGTCCTCGAGTGGATGGACCAAGGCGACCTTCGGGGCGTCTTGAGTGCCACAAATTCCGAGACATTTCGCTGGCACGACAAGGCGACGTGCATGTTGGCGATTGCGGCGGGTCTTGTCTATTTGCACTCACTTTCCATCATCCACCGCGATCTCAAGTCCCGAAACGTGTTGCTCGACTCGACCAAAGTAGCCCTATTCCCTACCAAGCCCTCGGAAAATAGTGTTGTCGACTAGGGAACCAAGCTCACGGACTTTGGCGCGTCTCGCGAACTGTCGTCCGAGATGATGACGTTGGGCGTTGGCACATGTCGCTGGATGGTTGTCATTTTTGCTTGTTTTTAGGCGCCCGAGGTACTACTCGACACGCACTACACGACGGCCGTCGACGTTTACTCATTTGGCGTGCTTCTCTCGGAATTGGCCACGCATTGCTTACCGTACCACACGCTGCGCAACGATTGCGGTGCGACTCTAAACGCAAGCAACAATACTCTAAACACGATAGGACTAGGGATGCCGCTGGCAGAGACGGCCATTATTTCGCGCGTCGTTCAAGGAAGTCTACGGCCCGTGATGGACATGCCGTCATGCCCGCCGTGGGTCCATGCGCTTGCGATGGCGTGTACCCAGTGGGAGCCCGAGGCCCGCCCCATGGCCGTCGAGATCGCCCACGCCATCGCCGTGCACATGGCAGCACCAATTCTACACCATGTCCTGTAGTGTATAGTCGCCCCACCACGCATTGATGTCATCGAATTGCACAGCAGTCGTATTTACTTGACTGGTATTGGCGACAAAAAGAATGAAATTAGTCAATGAATTAGTCAATCAATCAACCGATCAATCAATCAATTGATCAATCAATCAATCAAACGAGTTCGCGTTAAAATCAAGTTCGTAAAAACAAACTAGAAGACGTCGCATACGTACGGTGCACCCCACTCGCCGAGTCATAGCTCGCGCGAGGTCGCACACAGATTCCTGTACTCGGATGATCCCACAATGGAGTGTACACCGTCGGGTGTCTTTGAAACGAAACCGCCCGATTGAACTGACAAACCGTCCGCCATTGATATTGACAAACTATTGCATTCGATAATACATCCTAGTTTACCGAAACACGGTCGGTGGAACGACGTCTGTGAGTGGCAAGTAGAGTTTCTCGAGCGTCGCGACAGCTTCGAATACCACAAGTCGCGGCATGTCCATGTACTCGGCCAAGACCGACACCAAATGCTCGGTCGCGCCATCGACGTGCTGTAGTCGAACTTCGCGCGGGTACCGATAATACGGGTAGAACGGTGCGTCGTCAGGCGTCGTCGGCACTTGGTCGACCGGCGCACCCGTCGCGTTGTGCATCGGCGCAAAGGCCACTACAGGCGCCGGCTTGACAAGGGTCTCGACCGTCTCGTCGGCAGCAATCGTCTGCAGCGCTTCAATGTGGTCGTCGAGGTGCGATGGCACGGTGACGCGACTCCACTGGCCATGCCGCGCGTCATCGGTGGCAGCGACAAATGCGTGCAGGTGCTTGCGCTTCAGGCGCGGCGCGCGCGCGTCGAGCGGAAACATGAGCGAGAACGCCTCGTCCTTGTCTGTGTTGGACGTGTAGACCAAGAGGTGCCAGGACGGGCAAAGCTTGAGCGCGACGAGGACGCGGGCGACAAAGTCGACTTCGGACGGAAGCAGCCACAGCTTGGTGCCGCTGCCTTCAGCCGCCATCGTCTCGGGCGGCAAGACCGTTTGAAGTATACTAAAAGCCTCCGACACGGCATTTGGCAACTGCAAGGCGGCCGCGCAGGTGCGAAACGCCAGCGACATGTTGAGCGGTGGCAGCTCGAGGTCGAGGTGGTAGTGCAGGTAGTTGGCTTCGGCCGTGATCGTCGAGGCCGTCACGGCAAGGTACGGCAAGTTTGTGTTGAAGTACAGATGCAGCGCATCGACGGGCGCGGTCATTGCGTCCGGGAGCAAGCTCAGGACGTTGCCGTACGGCAGGCGCCCGTCCCGCACGAGCACATACAGGTCGCTCGTGAGCACGCCGAGGTGGCGCAGCCGCGCCGCAAGGTACAAGAGCCCCAAGTGCGACCGCAGCGAGAACCGCGAGAGCTCGGTTTCTTTTGCACCTTTGCCGTCGTTGCCATAGTCCCACTGCGTCTCGTACCCGCTCTCCAGCAGGGCGTTGCTACCATACCATCGTTGCATGAGTATGAGGCGACGCCTAAAATAAAGACGACGTACGCTGGCTTGTCCGAGGCGTGGCCGGCCTTGGAGAGGAAGCAGTTGAGCAGCGGCCGTGTGCCATGCGCACTCCACATACCCAGAAAGTGGAACCAGAGCTCTTCGACGGTCGCGACAAGCCCAGGATCGTTGAGCGCCACCGCGAGCGCTTCGGCCTGCAGATGCAAGATGGTCTGCGACACATGCAGGCACGACTCGAGCGTCACGAGCGGCCTGGCCTCCTTCGCCGCCTTGCCGCGCCGAGCGCGCTTGGCTTTTTGGCGGATCTTGCGCGACCCGCGCATCGCGAGCGCGTCCTCCATGTCGTACTCTTCGTTGCGGCTCTGCTGCGCGTTCTGCGCGCCGCAGATGTTGCAGATACTCTCGCCCGTCGCATCGTTCCGGTCAAAGTTGTCCTCGCCCGTCACGCCGCACGTCGTGCAGAAGTACGTAAACTGGCTCATGCCCGTCGCCGCCACCGTGCCAGTGTTGCAATGCCGCAAGGCCATTGGCTGCCGTTTCGATGGTACACCGGGGTACAGCTTTCTTTTTTGACGGTGCGGAATCGGTACACCGGGGTACAACCAAAGTTGAAGTTGCGCGAGTTTGCACATGCCAAGCGCGCAATCGAGAGGCCGACGTTAACTTCAAGAAGTCTTTTTTAGTTATAAATTATTATACATCCATAGATCAACTCGCTGCCAATGGTTCGTCGCCATAGAAGGCAACATCTCCGCTTCCAGAGTATTCTAGCTGGACATATTATAGCGGCTTGGCGGCTGCTGGAAGCGTCCTTGCATGTATGGCGGTTCGCTTTGCTTATCGCCTCACGAGCCCACTGTCCGAGCCGCCTTCGCGGGCACATACAAATTCCGTCGTCCGTTGCTCTCTCCACTGCCGTATGCAACCATGTGAACCTGAAAAAAAAGTTGGCACTGGGTGAAACCTCAATAATCGGTTTTAGAACTACAATGCCGCGAAGAGGCCCAACGCGGGCGCCCGTGGCGCGCGAGTACCTACTCGAGGTCGCCGGGTGGCTCTATCTTGCTCTTTCGCTAAGTCTGAGCGTCTACGCCATAGACCTGTTTGCGCCGTACATGGAGAACGGGCTTTTCTGGCCGCATTTTGACGCACTCAACACACTGGGACTTCTTGGCGCCGTCTTGAACCAGCATCTTGGCACGCTCCACTCGGGTTCGAACCCTGTCCCGATCGACCTATTAGCACCCAGCGCGTCGATTTGGCAGCTCGCCTCGATGGGTGTCAACCCGGCCTACCCGCGCCTTTTACTCTACCAAGAGCTCACTGACCTAGCGGTGGCGATTCCGGGCTTGCGGCGCCTCGATCCCAGTGCTGTCTCGTTCATGATCACACCGTACTGCTGGGTCGATTTGCAGCGGCGCTACGTGCTCGCGCATACGCCGCGTCGGCTTGAGCGCTGTGTTTCCACCGACGTCGACAACGGTGCCGTGTACCTCGAAGCCGTTTTGCGAAATATTGATGTGGACGCGTGGAATATTGCGTCCGGGGGCGCCTTCGCCACCAAGATTGCGTCATCGATTACCGCGTCGTCGGCCGAGGGGGCGTCATGGGTCGATGCCATGTACCACCACACGTTGCTCGCTATCGATGACGAAAGAGCGTACTGGGAGGCGCGGGGACTTGGTCGTTTTCAACTCCAGTATGGCAACCGCGTCCAGCTAGGTATCAACGAGAACGTCGCCATCATGAACGCGCTCGGAATTACGTACGACTTGCCGGTGACGTCGATCCGCGCGCTGCGCCGTGGTGCGTCGTGGACGACCTCGTACATGTACCAGAGTCTTGGCAACGACTTGAATGCGATTTGGCCCAACCAAAGCCTCGTGGTCAATACCGCAACGTATTTTGGCTGGGAAGATATGGACGAGCTCGTCGCCTACGACGTGGGCATGCCCCTGAACGCGGTCAACCAGGTCATCACGTTGTCCTTGGGTCCGCTCAACTCGATCGATTTGCGCTGGCTGCGCGTGCCACCGCGGCTCGCTGACGCCGTATCGCAGTTTGACGCCCAGCTCTACGATCTGGTTGCAAATAACGCGACACTGTACGAGGCACTGGCGTCCTTGCCGCTTCTAAACGCCGTGGTTGTCCCCTATAAGTGGCAAGATCCCTCACTGCGCTTTGTGAGCGGCAACCTCATGTGCAGCAACGGCGCGCCCATGCCATTTGTACTACGGGCCTTTGGCTTTGACGACGCGTGCGGAACACAAGTCCCGGCGGAGTTTCCACTCTCGGCGATGAATACGCTCTTTGCTTTGCACATGGTGGACGGACAACTGGACGATATTTGCGCTCAAGTGCCAACCCAAGTCGCCTTGTGCGAGCGACTCTTGCCGCATCTCACATACGTGTACCGCCTCTTGGCGCCGTTCTTGTCGCACATTGATCATGTATCGCTGCACGAGTTGCAACTGGCCAAAGTCCAAGTTGTCCTCAACGGCTCGGCCCTCTCGCTGCAAACGGTGCTCCTCTTGGGTGAGCGCTTTGACTTTTTCGGCTATATCAATGTGTACGATTGGGCCCACAATATACGCGAAGCACTTGCGTTCGAGGGCGATGTTCGCACATTGCACTTGGTCTCGTATGCGTATACCCCGCTGTCACCCCCCAGCATTGGCATTCGCACCAACACCAACGTGGGCAAGTACCTCTGGATCACGTCCAGTGTCGTGACAGGGGTCCTCGGGGCCATCGGATGTCTCTGCCTCCTCTTGGTGTGCCGCCATCGCCCGCGCCCGGGGACAACCCCGTGGTTTCTTTTTTCACGGCTCGTGTCGTCGGTTTGGCTCAATCGAACGCTGCTTGGCGTCCGTGCGATGACCGCGCTGCTGTGTCTCTCGACGGCCCCCCTTGTCCCGATGGTTGTCCACAGCGACGTGTGGCAGCTGCAGTGGCAGCCCCGATCGATGTTGGCATCGGCCGTGCTCGCCAGCGAAGCGTCGTGGCTGACATACGTTGCTTACGAAGTGCTGCATCCGTTGACGTCGGGCTACACCCACCACGCGGCGATGGGCAGCGCCGTCATCACGTGGGGAATGGTCCTTCTTGTCGACGCGTGGGCCCCCGTAAAGGTCGCGGCGTCGGTCCACCGCCGCTGCGACTTGTTCAACATGGACTGGCAACTGGAGTGCTGCAGTGCCAGCGTTCGTATTGGGTCCTTCGATCAGCTAGTGTCGCTGGTCTTACTGCAGCTCTTTGGCGTTTTCGTTGGCTATGTGGTGGCTGTATGCGTCAAGCGATGTCGCCGGCATCGACCAACGGTGGCGCCACTTCAACGACCGCCCTCGCTCCTACTCCAAGGCTCGGTCCACGCCTTTGGGGCCAACACCACACCGACATTGAACTTTGCCGCTTCTGCGATGGCAGGTCTCTTTTTAACGACGTGGGATGGCGCCTACTGCGTGTTTGATATCAACCGGTGGATGTACTTGCCGCTGGAAGTTGTACAAGAGAGTGTCCCGTTCATGGGCCGCCATCTCACGGTATTTACAACGATCGTCTCGTCAGCGTTTGGCTCGATGCCAGCGCTGCACCGCGTCTCCAACGCCACCCCCGTGACGTTGAGCACGAGCTTGGAGGTGTTTGCTGCCTGCGCGTCGCAGCGGTTTTGGCACCTCGTTGGCTTTCTCTATGTTATGGGCACACTCTCGAGCAACATTGCGTATTTTAACGTTGTCTTGACGAGCTTGAGCAACGATTATGGCTGGGCCGGCTACAACAGCTCGGGCATGCAACCGTTCTTGGCCAATGTGTTCAACCGCCAGCTTCTCCTGGCGTCGTCCTTGGAGCAGCGATCGCCGCTGATGCTCGACGACCCGGGTCTGGGCGATACGAGCCAGCTCTACAATGGCTCGAGCACGGTCATCACGTGGAGTGACGGCGCGGCGCGTCGTCAGCTGTACGCGTCATCGCGTCTCTTGACCGAGGTGGTCATGGATTTGCGAAACATGGATCCGTGTGCCTTGCCGTGGATGTCAACGCAGTACTGCTGGTTGGACGTGCGTCGTATATGGTCTATGGCGTCCACGTTGCATCGACAAGCGCGGTGCGAGACCTCGGCGATGCGAACGAATGGTGCCGTGTATCTGGAGACAGGACTCCGGAATCTCAACGACTGGGATGTCTGGATGCGCTGCTGGGGCACGTCGTTTGAGATTGGGTTTCAGCGGCACCTGGAAACGTCGCTCGAAGGAAGAGAGTGGCTCACGACAGTACCCTCAGCAATGGTCCACACTTCGATCCCGGATGAAGTCGACTTTTGGCAAAAGCATGGTATTTCCACGTACCAACTGCAGTGGCAAAACTACAAGTCACTCGGCATGATCGATACGATTACGATTGTGAGCGCACTCGGTCTCTCGTACCCGCTGCTGCTCAGCCAGTCGGACGGCGCCTACCATTGCCAGCAGCAAACAAGCTACAAGCTCTACTGGACGTTCGCAAGTGATCTCTGGGCCATCACACCGAATGCCACACAAATTAGCGCGTCAAGTCTCTTGCGCGCGAGCGCAGCGTTCGCCTTTGCCAACGTCACGCGCGCCGCCTTGTTGGTGGACAATACGACACTATTGTCGCCGTTGAACCCAGGGTTCACGCTTCTGGACGCATCCATGGGTCCATTTGGCGCGATCGACAGCTACTACGTCCCATGTCCCTCAAGTTTGCTATGGTTTTATACGGTTGTCTCACAGCGCATCACCCGTCTTGTCGCTGAAGACGCATCGGCGGCAGCAGCCTACAGTGTCCTCTCGGCGCCGCCGTGGTATGCCCCCGTGCCGCACCACCTCTTGCACGCAACCACTATTCAATTTACCGGTGGGAACGTGCTCTGTGGCACCGACACCAAGCCGTGGCTACCCGAGAACGGCCTCTACCTCGGCTACAGCGTCACCAACATGTGCAACGCAGTCTTTTCAGATCGACTGGAGCTGTCGCTCTTGCAAAAGCTGGTCGTACTCGCCGCAATGAACGCGTCGGTATCAGACATGAACACGACGGCGATCTGCGCGCTGGACACGCGAACCCCCGCCAACTGCACGGCGCGTCACGCGGGCACCCTAAATTTTCTCTCGAGTGTCGGTGCGTCAGTCGTCGACGCGTCCTTGCCGCTGCTTGTGACCGATGCAATGCGCGCTGTCGATGCACTCGACGTGATTCTCGTTCAGTTTCTTCTCGACACCAACAGCAACGTCACCTCCCTCGCACGCTTACCTCTTCTCAATGCATCGGACGCTGCGTGGACGTTCTACGGCTGGTGCTACCTTGTGGAATGGGTCGTCGGGCATCGCGATGTCGTGGCATTTCATGGCGACCTTGGCAACCTCACCGTGCTCTCGGCGGCAACCGGTCCGATCGAGGTGCGACCGGACCCCAATGGTATTCCACAAAGCTTTTCGTTCTTATGTCTTCTGTGTGTACAATATGTAACTTGTACGCTCATTGGCGTCAGTGTTCTTGTCGCCCTCTCGACGCTCTACCACCGCGGGTACATTGAGAGCTTCAACTTGCTGTGCATCAACCGCGTCGTCGGGCTCGTTTGGGTCGGCCGTCCCATCATTCTCTTGCGGTCGCTCACAGCCATTTGGCTCCTCAATACATCGCCACTGCCGCTGCTCCACCAGAACGGCGTAACCTTTGTGAAAGCGCCGCCATTGGACTCGTACAAAGCGCTCCTCGCCACGTCCGAACTCACTTGGTTTGTCTACGTCCTCAACGACGTTGGAAGCGCGCTCACGCGGCAGTACACGTACTCGTATGGCTCGGTTAGCGCCAACTGGACGTGGGTGCTTGCCTCGCTCTGGACGCTGCTGTCGCCGCAGCCGTACGACGCATCGATGCAGCGCAAGTGCGCGGCTCTGAATATGGACTTTGCGCTCTATTGCGACAGCGGCACCATTGTACTCGGTGACCAGCGCCGCTGCCTCGAGTGTATGGGCTTGGCACTCGTGGCGTGTGTGGTTTGCTACCTGTATGCGCGCCGATCGTCACCGAATTTGACACCAATTTTTACGCCTCCGCTCTTGCTCAACGCCCAGGGTTATCACATGCTCACGTTCAAACACTGGGTGGCCAATGGCGTCTACTACATTGACACGACGTCGGCCATCATGGCGGGCGTCTTGTCGTGGAAGGGCCAGGGGCACATCTACCTCCTCGATATCAAGACGTGGCGCTTCGTGTCAACCGCGCTCCCGACGCCCCGGCCTCAATCCCGCGCGGCCAAAGAAGAGCGCTTTGCGCATGCCTTTCCGCTGCATCTCTAATAGTTTAGCGAACGTGGTATATATTTTTTCATTTTTGGTTGGCGTTTATCGGACGACTAACTACTAGTACACTTTATAGACAAAAGTCGCGCGAGCCGCATGCCTATGCCTGTGCGGTGTGATGTCTTGGAGGAGGTGGTAAGAGGTGTTTTTGGAGCGTATGGGAGCTGGATGAATCAAGTGGATTGTATATATAATTTAGACGTTATGAAATGTGAATGTACACGCAAGGTCTTGTAGTGTAGCGGTTATCACGTCTCCTTGACGTGGAGAAGGCCCCCGGTTCAAGTCCGGGCAAGACCAAACATTCTTTTTACGCACTCCAAACCAGTTTAGAACCCATTTCTTTCATTTATCCGATTTTTTTTTTATCATTTATTCACTAGCGACCCTATTTCACCCTCCTTGTCAAAAGAAAATGCATCCGTCTCGTTCTGCTTCCAACCCACTTCAAAACGAAGCCGTTGCGACCATCTCCTCGCCAAGAAATGCGCTCGCTCGTGATTGTAAAAATATGATTTTATATATATGAACGTGTTTCGCGTTATCTTCATAGTTACACAAAGACTTCGCATACGTAGAGACTAGCAATCTCCTTCTTCTTCATTCGCTCGCCGGTCCGTGGCTGCGCAGGCGGCGGCGCGGGGGCTCGTCTGGCTCTTCTGTCGTCGCCCTACGACGCTTGTGGCCGCGGGTGAGGCCCGTGACGACACGGTCAGTCAAATCTTTCCAGGCGTCGCGGTCGGCGGCATAGCTACGCAGTTGGTCTAGGAAAAGTATGTTTACGAATTGTTTGGATAAAAATATGATTTTATCCAAACAATTCGTAAACATACTTTTCCCAAATTTAAAGAAGCCTACTGCATTCTCCCTGTGATAGATCGATAAAAATGTCGTTACTTAGCGGGCATCATCACAGCCCTACTA